AACAGGTGCTAGTCACAAATACGAACTGTTGCACCGCAACTGAAGAGATACGAAACAGGTGCTCGTCACAAATACGAACTGTTGAACAGCAACTGAAGAGACAGGTGCTAGTCACAAATACGAACTGTTGCACCGCAACTGAAGAGACACGAAACAGGTGCTCGTCACGAATACGAACTGTTGCGCCGTAAGTGAAGAGACACGAACTGGCAGCGACATGTCTTAGACGGTTAGTCACCGGCTTTACAGCCTGGTTTGATACCAGAACAGGTCACGTGAAATTTGCAGTGGTCAAAGTGGCGCTGAGGTAAGATTCCATCGAGTTCTTCAGTTTTCCATGCCAATTCTTATTCCACCAAATGCTCCAAGCATATCTTTCGTCCGGGTCTAGTACAATAGGTCCACTAGTGACCGGCGTACCAGATGGACCCAGTCTCAACCCCACCGGACAGGATTACTGTGAGAATTACTGCGACCGTAACGTCTTTAATATGTTGATTTGGCGACAGGTAGACCGAGAAGCTAGTCAGGAAAACGTGGCGAAGTCTAAGAGGATAGATTATGTTAAAACAGGGCTCCTCAAATACAATGAAATCTAGAGGACAATTTACTGCATCTGCACATCCATAGCCTTGACATTCTTGCGTTGGCTATAATTCTCCGTTAACTCGCCCACGGAGCAGTATATCCGAGGTCACTAGATCGATGCCCCTTTGCATCACGAGTGAGTGAATATGCAAGGGTTTTATGGATAATTTGTGATATTATTTGGGCGCGGAGTAAGGTACGGTCAATGAACTCTATCAGTAAAACGCTCTGACAGAATACGACCATTTGCGAGACAACGCTTCGGTAAACATATTATCGTGGTAACGCAGTCAAAACTGTGACCTTTCGTGACAACAAATAATTTACATGAATTTCTATGGATACGAGCTAGCACCTGTTTTTGCGGTAGCGAATATTAACAAAGGCATTCCCGTGACAAGAAGCAGAATAACAGGAAAATTAACAAATAATTCGACATGGTGCTTATATTCGGGCCGCCTGGCACTAATAAAATGGAGTTCATTCGTGAACTCAAAGCAGTCAGAGATTTATGAGAGATTCGCCAAGGCGTATTCGTCAGACAGACATCGTTCAAGGTAGTTCCAGTGTGTGAGCAATGACTCGTCCTTCGGCATCATCATAGCGGAAGAGAAGACGCTCGTAATCCAGTAACGAATGGAACGAGTCGTGGACAGTCATGCATTGTGAGCTGTCATGATTAATTGGACTTGTAAAGAAGTGTCATTAAATCCAGTCTTGAAATCAAGAACCTATTATTATTAGTCACGCCAATCCCGCACTCATGACAATATGTACATGTAAATTTGTACGTATTGTATTGTCGGAGCTGGAAACTAATGCGTGTGCCTTGGGAAGATCCCTTCACCAATTTGCTAAACAAGTTTCTGGGGTCACTTGAGTTACCTTACTATAACGAGAAGTTAGTAAATGACGTCATTCACGAGCTTATAACTGTTGTAATTGTTTGCGTTGTGGTTAATGTGACTGAGCAATGAACTTAAAGAAGAATACACCTATTGTAACTTTCTAATCCATTCGCGTTTAGAGTGGATTTATTTTGCAAGAGTGGACTGGATTCTCAGCACCTGCCCATTGAATTAGTGCGCATGCGTTTTATAGCTCTGAGCGCTGTTGTTAATGAATATTTCTGAACGTCGCGGTATTCCTCTTAGAATATTTAAGACTTTATCAATTGTAGACTGGACTGAAGAGAGAAACGCAGATTTAAGGGCTTGCAACTCCTGATCCACCCAGAAAACTTGGAATATTTTGCTCGTACTTAAAACTTAAAATTGGCGAATTAGTAACAGGAATATTTAATCCAATTTTTCATTTAATATGGTTCTCTTTTTGGTGAGATTTGCATTAATTTTCTTACCTGAAAGTCATATCTCTGGCATTTTAGAAATATATCCAAATATACAGGGTGTCCCATGAGTTTGGTGCCATACTTTAGGACCGTAATGAGGGTTCCCTATAGAACAACTTTGAAATAGGAACCCATGTCCGCAAACGTAAAGTAGCAGCGCTAGGGCGGCATTTAATATCATTATGTTTATACTTTGCGCCTCAATGTCGAACTGCATTACATAGAGGAACACCCATCCACCAGCACTCGTGCCATTGCCAAGATTGTGGGGACATTAAACTCAAGTGTTTGGAGGATCCTGCACGACCAACAGCTTTATCCGTGTCATCCAACGCGAGTCCACGGCGTAGGTCTAGCTGACTTCGCACCACGAGTTCAATTTTGTCAGTGGATACTGAACCAGTGTTTACATCAGCCTAACTTCCTGAATCACGTGTAATTCACAGACAAAGCGCAGTTTGCAAGGGATGGCTGGTTCAACTGTCGAAACAGCCACGTTTGGGCTGACGAAAACCCCAACGTTACTGTAGTTGTTTGCCGTCCGGCGCAATTTTCTGTCAATGTCTGGGCGGGCATCATTGGCGAACACTTGATTGAAGAGGAGACCCAGTGCCTTGGCCACCCCGATCCCCAGACTTGACACCTCTGCACCATTTCGTCTGGGGCCACGTGAAATGCCTGATCTACCACACGCCTGTGGATAATGAATGCGAGCTGTTGGCCAGAATATTTGTTGCATGTGACGTGACCCGTGAGACACCTGGAATATTTGAAAAGGTGCGCCAAAGTTTCTTTCGTCGATGTAAAGCATGCAATGAAAATGAAGGGCGCCAATTCCAACATCTACTCTAGCAGGCGAGTCTTAAGAATTTGGAGGGGGTAATATGCCTGTGCATGCTCTTCAACATTGAAGCTAAAGTTTAAACAAAATGATATTAAATGCCGCCCTAGCGCTGCTATTTTACACTTGCGGACATGGGTTCCTATTTCAAAGTTGTTCTGTAGGGAATCCTCAGTACGCTCGTGAAGTATAGAACCAAACACCTGGGACACTCTGTATATACACTGTATATACGTACACTGATACATATATCAGCATATTAGTAAGCTTAAAATATAAACTACAAAATTATATTCAAGATACGTGAACTCTTAATAAAACGTTGTATATCTCTTAGGTATGCAGCACACAGGCATGCGCTAAGACATGTAACAGTGAAGACACGATGTCTGTGACGTGACACAAAGAAAAGGGCACAGTTGAAACGAATGAAATTATGAAAACCGCCGCACACCGGTCTGAGTCATGACGTCAGCTTCATGCTGACCACCCACGAATGAAGCAAGACTGTCTTTTATCTCATGTCTTGATGCTTGGCTTGACGCAGTTGATGTGCGGCCGCCCTTAGAGATCAGCATGATTAATTTCAAGAGCTAATGTCCGAATAATCAAGAACAACAAAATTCACCCTTCTGAGCGCTGCAGATAGATGATTTTCAAGGCAGCAAGCAGAACATCACAGCAGTCAATTAGGCATATTGTAGCGGATTTTGTTTCATCAAGTTTTCTTAATTGCTGTTACTTTATGATTAATATGTTTTCACATAGTGTAGATGCTCTTGTTAGGAGAAAAGATAGTTGATGTTAAACAGGGTATCATTTATGTCATTAATGGAGATGACCAAATTCGCGCAATCTTCTCCATATAAACACAAATTACTTTATTATCTTCTTTCCTCACACACATATTTCTATCCTTTACCCCTCTCAGACCTTCATCTCATATCCTCCTTTCTCTACTGATAAGGCTGCATGAAGGTACATCTTTATCCTTCAGATGACGCAGTTTCGAACAGAGATCTTCCACATGTGTAATTACGGTAGAACTAGTGTTACAGACCGAGAACCACATAACATACCACAAAGTCAGATAGCGCACGTACAAAGCCATGGACCGTCTCCTGTTACATGCATAGAGTGCTACACATACATATCCTTCCGCGTGTTGTTTGTCCGATGCGTCCGTGTCTCCCTCCTGAGCGGCTGAGCGCTTTGCGGAAAGGGCTGAGGCGGTGGCTCTGTGTATGACAGGCGCACACTGACCGGACAGTGTTCGTAGTGACTGTAGGACGCTGAGTTGTCAGATGCTGAAGCTAAGATCTCGATCCTTATACTTGAAGTTCTCACAGTGGTGAGCATAAAGTATACTGCGCTCTGGTTTGTGACGCCGTGTACCAGACTACAAGGCTTCACATCTCAGAAGGCAGTACTCTTCAAGATGCGCACTGTTCAGCAAGTTGATAGAACCGTCCCAACTTCGGCACCATTGTGTTAGAGATAACTGAAATCGTTCTCATGAAATTTGAGAATTGGCCACTATTACAGAAAGACAATAACATCACCACATGAGGATAAAACCTTTTGGAACACCACCCAACTCTGAACATGGTACATACCGAGTAAAACTGTGAGACACGAGACTGCTTACGAAAGACAACTTCCTCTGATGATAGGAAATTTACGTTTATGTATGAGATATGAGATTCTCGAAGCGAAGGTTATCCTCAAGATGAAGACAACAGGTTCCTCCGAAATATTGACACCCACTAGTTAAGTACACGTCACCATATCCCAGAGGAGCATAATCTCGAAATTTCTCATTTATGTCAAATGTCAGTATTTTAGATTTTAGTCCAGTGAGATTGTTGGTGGTAAGTCAGCTTTAAGGTTTCAAGTGAGATAGTATAGTTCATGTGCAGTGCTGTTTATCGTTAGCAATAATTTCACCCAAATAGTGTACTCTTTTGTATCCTTTGGCTCTTCTGTCTCGTCTCAACGCTTAGCTGTTTTCTCTTGTTTGAAGGAAGATAGTAAAGTTGATGGTAAATTTTGTGTTCTCGCTTCACGATTCACAGTTCCACTCAAATACTGCAGACTCTTGTATCACCTAGCTCTTCTCTCTCGTCACAACCTTTCATTAGTGATAATGCGGCTCAAATACTGCAGTTGCCTTGACTCTTCTCCCTCCTGACAACGCTTGGCGACTGTCTCTTGTTTCAGAGGCCATGTTGCAGTTCACGGTGGAGTTGCGAGCGCCACGATACGTGACGCTAGGTGGCTCTGCTCTCCTGCAGTGTGAGTACAGTGTAGGTCTGGAGCAACTTCACCGTGTGGAATGGCTGAGGAACGACAAGAAACTATTCCAGTTCGTGAAGGGACGCACTCCGCCATTTAGGAACTTCACCACACCCGGAGCAGAACTAGACGTGAGTAAAGCTCTTATGTTTGGTTTTCCTTTCCATAGTAATTGGGTAGGCATTCCTGAATCATATCAGGAAAATTACAAATGGAAATTGTTTATTTTTTACCTAACTTGCAGGTATTTGCTTTACTTTTAGAAGAACTTTTATGCTTCCTCCTTCCTTTCCTAAAATACAAACTTGAAAAATGAAAGTGCCATAATTTCCCACGATGTTTTAATCATCTTCCTATTAACACCTGTTAGTAGGATATATAATAGTATGCAGTCCATTAGGGTAACATATAAAGTAGAAACCTATATGGAAGTTGCACATGAACTATTTTAAATATAATTAACTTCGTTTAACTCCTGTGTAAATTAAAAATTGAGACAGGTTTTTCGTCATTCTGAGATATTCATTCACACAGCACGTACTAATAAGCAGAGAATTTGTGGAATATTTTAATAAGTAAATATTTGACTGTTTCATTTTCTTCAGAATTGCTTTTTAAACGCTGTTACGTGATGACTTGAATATTTCTTGAGATATATCACAGCATATTTCTAACGTATTATATTAAAAGTAAATTCAATATAATTTACAGTAAATTTGCCCCATTTAGAAGAGGAGATGTGGTCAATTCTAATATATATATATATATATGGGCATAAGTTTCATGCAGCTGTGTTTCATTAAACTCTGTGGAAATATTAGAATGATGTGTTGTAATTATTTCTGCAATCATAGCATTGTATGTTCCTGTAAATTTTTGTATACCAGACGACCATTCTCCCAGAAGATTACAATCTTCTGATTTCTAATGCCGTATAGCTTGACAGGGGTTAGAGTTACATACCGATAGTAGTATTAGTATTCATGTTAGGTTCCCAGTGGGCTCTCAGTACACACTGAGTATAGTGGCTTTTTGATACCAGAATACAAATCGAGTAAGTGTGGGTGAACGTTTGCTTTCGAGGGGCTAGACCACTCACTCACTCACTCACTCACTCATGGAGTTCAGCCCTTCTTGAGAAGCTACCAATTGTGCAGCTACCCAAGAACTTCCCAGCATTTTATGGAACACGAGAGTTCATTACCGTGTTCAGAAGAGCCCTCCACTTGTCCCTATCCTGAGCCAGATTGATCCAGTCCATATCACCCCATTCTATATCTGTAAGATCCAATTTAATATTGTTCACACTCCTAAGTCACGGTCTTCCCATTGGTCTCCTTCCTTCCGGCATTCCCACCAATATTTTACATGCATTCCTCCTTTCCCGCATTCGTGCTACATGCCCTTCCCATCTCATCCTCCTTGACTTGATCATTCTAATTATACTTGGAGAAGAGTACAAGTTATGAAGCTCTTCAGTAAGCAGTCCCCCAACCTCCTGTCACTTCATTTCTCTTCGGTCCAAATATTCTCAACGCCCTGTTCTCAAACACCCTCAGTCTACGTTTCTCCCATACGGTCAGAGACCAGGTTGTGTGGGTACTTTGTCACCACGGCATGGCGCGTCCTCAGATTGCAGATGGAGGAGACGCCCTCCAATTATGAAGGGAAGCAGTCGCGGACAGCCAACAAGGGGTGGTCCTCCAGCTTGGGGGTTGGGCGTGGGGCTAACATCTCGTCACCGTAAAAAATAATCCTTTTATGAAAATGAACATAAAGCCTCGGGGCTAGACCACTCTCACAAAATAAGTGCTAGATCTCTTGAGCATCTCCAAATTCATTATCTCCATGCTCATTATATTGAACCCGTTACATACTCTGTGACCATATCAAGTCTAGTAAGTTAAGCACAGTAGATCACTCTATGTCGCGGTGCAAGGGCCGAGAAGGGCCACCCCTTATACATTCATTCAAGTCTTAATTTTAAACACAATTTTCAGAACGTCTGTAATATATGTAAACAAATAGAGACATAAATCTTGACAGACAAAAATACAGTTTCTTCTTCTCCTTATTATTTTCCTGTTGCTAGCACTCGGGGCGGGCATGAGGCATCCTTGAAACGATAGTTTCACTACATTTTTTAAAAATTAGACAGTCACTATGACTCCTTAGACGGGGATCAGCCCCTCTGAAAGCAGCTGCCTAACGCAAAAACAGAATAAAGACAAACAGACATCCATGCCTTCGGTGCGGTTCGAACCCATGATTTCAGTGCTCAAACGAACAAAGACATACCATGCCTTAGACGGCGCGGCCACAGCGATCTGCAATGTACAGCGATTAGGTATAGACGTTTGATACGAAGGAATCGGCTGATTTGGTAGTGTAGCTTTCTGATGCAATGGAAATGTTTGTGAGGGCAGAGCGAGCGGTGTGGGCTGCTGTAGATAAGAATGAACTGCCAGGATCGATATCTCTGCTCGTCCATCATACAGCACGGCAATGAAATCACACTGTAAGCTTACGGCTGCTAGTGTGTTCCATTCGGCCGTACTGTTAGCATGAAAGTGCACTGCGCTGTCAGCCATGCTTCTGTAGCGCTCACAGGCAGGCCTCAGCGGGCGGTGTGCGGTACCTGACCGGTCACACGTGCTTTCGCCAAATGAAACCACCGGCAGATAATAACTTACCCATCTCACCTTTCAGTGTATCAATCTCAGCAGTACGTTATAATGAATACCAAGAAGTTGTTCAGCCAGTATAGTGACCGGCTATGAGCAGGATATCCGGGGTTCGATTTCAGGCAAGGACAAGAGATTTTCTCTACTCCACAGCATCCAGACCGGCTCTGGTATCACACAGTCTCCTATCCAATGGAAACCGGTTGCTTCTTCTCCGGGGTAAAGCGGACGGGGAGTGAAACTGACCACTCACTTCCAACTATTACCGAAGTCAAGAAATTTGAAGCTATTTCTCCACTTCCACGTACGTTTTCATAGCGTGGTAATTAAATAATTATGCAAGGGACAACTTTACCTTTGCCTTGCTTGATCACATGCCATAAAGATGTATGGGATAATGGAGGTAACGCTCCGTACATTCTTGACCTCAACACTTTGTAAAGATGAGTAGTCAGGTTTCTTATTCGGCTGCTTTGCCCGCAGAGAAATATCCCTGTTCTGTAATGAATTCAGTTAAGTTCAGTTGAGAGGTAAGACAGTGGCATTGATCCTAATGCTGAGCCAGATGAATCCTCTCCACACCCTCTCACCCTATTTCTTCAAAATCAATTTTAATTTTATCTTAGATATATAACAAGATTGTTTGAGCAGTAACTGTTCTGATCTCAACAATGGCTATGCCTTTACAATGTCTTCATTATCCGTTCCCTGTCAACGGATTTTAACACAGGAACGATCGCTTGAAATCACTATGAAATCTTCTTCGACCCAGTCCTCCAGTGCTAATTCTCTCTCTCAAATACGCTCTACGACTGGAATCTCCTGGTCCGAACTCCCAACTAACTGCCAAGTCCAAGTCCAAGTCCAAGTCGAAGTCCAACTCACATTGCGACTGATGCAGACTCCAGTCTTCACTGTTCAGCTACAACCGATGCGAAAGCACACGTAATTTCCAATAATCTCGACCCACAATCTCACACACAGAAGCACTGATTGCCATTTATTCTGGAAACTAGTTTTATAGCCGTGGTACTGACCACACAGAAAATATCTCTTCTATTGTTTAAATAGATGTGTAATCTAGCAACTACTTGTATCATGGCCCAAAGAGAACACAGCTCCTATTGTTGCGTGTTGCTGGAACGTTTATACTGAGTCGCTGCCTAGCATTGAACGCGTATTTTTGTTGCACGCTTAAGCGGGTAAGCTGTCGGCATGATTGCACCAAATTAATTGTTACTTTCTAAATGATATATGTTGCTTTGTTTTTTCTTTTTTGTGTGTTTGCATTTTTCGTCTTTTTACTGGTGCTTATTTTAAATTGGCTTTTCGGCTGTTGAGTAAGCATGCAAATAAATATGTAAGTGAATTTAATTTGATTTTGAAAGGAACTTAACAAACTACCTAATTACAAATACTGACTTCTTTCAATTTTGTCGGATTCAGCCTCGAAATATTTCATCGTACCAAGTTTGTGACTGTTGACTAGTCAGTAGCATTCCATACACAACATGTAGGTGCGATTGTGACGTCAGTATTTGTTACCACTTACCAGCGCACAAAAGGACCAGGTTAGCAACTTCTCACACATTAACAAAATATATACACACTTCTTAAATTTCTTTATTGCTAGTGGAGTGGGACTAAGTCCCTTGTACTGCGGCCACTTCTGGCCTATTGTACCAGCCCCATATGATAGGCGAGGGTGATTGTGGAGAAATTGGTGGAATGAAGATTGGTAGGGAAAACCTAAGTATTCGGAGAAAACCTGCCC